ATATATATATAGATAGATAGATTTTTAGTTAAATTTCCTAACCTTAGACTTAGTCTTTTTAGCATTTTTGGTTAATTAAAATTAAACTATTAAACAATTGGAAACTGTTCTTTTCTTTATAAGTGAGCAAATTTAGCAGGGGAACAAATAATTATTTCCTACTTTGTCAGAGTGTCAGTTTAGGACATTTGGATTGAAAAATAGAGCAGTGAAAAGTAAAAGGGCCATAATACACAGAAATGTGTAATGTGTAAACATCCCAGCACTCGCCTTTGACGGATATCCTTCAGAGAAGCCAAGAAAATCAATTTCCTTCCCTTACCTGCCGTATTGCTGGATAGTCTGTCACAGTGAGCCCCCTGCTGGTAATGTATTAGTGTAACATTGATTATAAGAGTAGGACTAGAAGGTTATCCACATTGTGGTTATTTCCTAACAAACTGTCAGTCACAGGTTGTAAATAAATGAGTGCTCAGTGTCCTTGTTTGCATAAGTAGTTCCTTTGTGTATCTGGTTTAAAAACACCTACATGGCAAAAAACCCTGTGTGATTGGACTTTTTATAGTTTTGTACTACTCTCGTTAAACACCATTCACCTGTATGTAGCTGTGTTTTTAAGCAGTTATGCTGAACTGTTAATCAACTAATTAGTGCAGAAGTTGTTCTGTACAATAAGTTTCTTTGACAAACTGCTTTCATTGTATGGGCTTGGTTGGCTCAATAATTGATAGTTTCTGTTTAATGATGAGTAAAGAAAGGTAGCATCAAAAGTAATGAAAAATAGAGTGTTTACACCAACAGGATTTGCAAGGTTTTGGGTTATTTATTTATTTACTTTAAACTGTGAGAGAAAAATGTTGCAGACTTCTTTTGCAGTCATTGCTTTTATCCTCACAAGGGCATGTATCTAGTAAGGGTCCCCAGGCTGGATCCCCACATGCTACCTAAGCTTACCTTGGAATACGACACAATTGAATCCATATCCCAAAAAGTTGATTCTGTTCATTTGGATATTGCAGAGGATCAAATAATTTTTTCCCCACTCTATATTTCATATGTTATAAGTAGATTTGACCTGCTACATACTAAAGATAATAATGAAATTCTTTCTACATAATGAGACAGGAAGGAAAGAGTGAGCGGCACGTGATACATTTTTAGTTTATCATCTCCTGCCATTGTATTAAAGTCTGCGTTAAAATAAAGTACTTATAGTTATTTTCTCTTGCAGTCTTTCCACAGAGCACTCGGGGGGGAAAAAACACAGGTAAATAACTTAAAGATATATTATATATGTATGAGTGTTAACGTATACTTCTGTGTTATGAGAACAATAGTTTTTTGTTTGTTTGTTTTTCAGCACTCTATGTGATACCGCCTGTACTGCTTTTGATATGTATCCTCGTTCTTGTTTATAAGTACAGACATTCCAGGATTGAAGGTATCTTTTACATTCATATGCACAGAGAGACCCTTACACTCAAATGTGCATGCAAATACAGCATAACCATATTCAATGGTGTGTGTTTTCAGAAGCTGTTCTCTCCCTGCGGAGAAATGCATCTAGGAAAAAGAGTTCAAAGAAGGTGATTGGTGCAGCACAAAGTGAAGTAAGAAAACTAAAGTGTAAAGTCTTAATAGAGAAGTATGAATGAATGAATTATGAATATTTAGGATTAAAAAAATAACTGATTTTTTACTGTTTGTTAGGTTTAATATGCAAGATTAGTTTGGAATGTGGGACAACTGGAATTTAATTGGATCTCCCATTTGGATTTGTTATGTGTACATTCATTTACAGATGAGGACACAATTATTAGCCCCGCCCTATGAAAATGAATGTTTTTGTAAAATATTTTCACAGGTGTTTTTTGTTTTTTTTAACAGAACACGTGATTTTCAACACAGCATTTCTAAACAAAGTAAATTGCACACATTCACAGAAACATTTGGGGGAAATAATACCAGAATCAATGCAGTGTTTCTGATGTTTATAAGACAACCATAGTGGCAGCCTAACAGAAACTTTCCTGACTTCAGCCCACAGATACATGTGACCATTGAATTGCTTCTCTGTTCATTATTTATTGTCCCTCTAGTGTCCACCGGGTGGCGTAATTTTTCCACACAAGACAGCACTTGTGACTATCACAGTCAGTATAAAAAGCCCTATTAAAACTGACCTTTTTCATTCAGCCTGCTGCTATGCAAGGATGTGGTTAAAACTCTGGGTTATGTTCCAGTTTACAAACAATTCAAAAACTTCAGCAAATCTGTTTAGACTTGAGAAAAATACTTTTAGATGTAGAAAGTTATTGCAGGATTTCAAAATGTCAAGAACTGGAGTGAGATCAGTAAATTCAATGAAAGTGACACGTTTTGGAACAAGCCTGGGAGAGGAAGGAAAGAAACGATCTCAAAGACTCTGGAAAGAAAACTTTGTGATTATGCTGTGGGGATGCTCCAGTGCATCTGGAACTGGGAAACTTGTGAAAGTGGAAGGAATCGTAAAGATATAAGGATTTGTGAATATTTTGAAAGACAACCTCAAGCAGTTAGTAGCACATCTAGGTCTGGGTCACTACAGTGACTCAAAAGATACCTCACTCTTGGTGAAGAATGAAGAATGACCTCCAGAAGACCAAAGTGAACATCTCTGACAGACCTGCTCAAAGCCCTGACTTTAATCCTATTTCAAATGTGTGGGGTGAACTGAAGACCAAGGTCCATGCCAGAAGACCATCAAACCTGGAGGAACTTAAAAGATTCATCAAAGACGAATGGCCAGGATTGCCCAGGAGATGTGTGTGAGATTTGTTGAAAACTATAAAAAAGGACTGCAGTCTGTTGTCTAGCAAAAAAGATACACAATGGACCTAAATCAAAAAGGCTAATCATTTTTGATGCTTATAGTTTTTGGATTTTGTGAAATAATTTTAAATCTGTGTCAATTCAAATTAAAACTACCCATATGGAAAAGATATATATAAATCTTATAAAGTTTGTATCTGTCTTGTGTGAAACTTGTATGAAAACCATACAAGAGTGAAAACAGATAAGATCCCTAGAAAAATTATATAAATGAAACTTGTATGTTTTGGATACTTACAAAAACAATATATGAAAGTGGCCACTTTCATGAGTAAATCATATAAGTCTTATGTGATTCACAATATGAAGTAGGCCACATTTGATGCAAGTCTTTTATACGTTTTTTCTATTTCTTTTCCATATGAGTAGGACGTTTGGAAAAGCTGTGTTAAAATTCCTTCTTTCATGTGTTAGAATCTGTATCTAGAATCAGTATTTTAAGTAATATCTAATATCTGTCAGTCTTGCTTAGTTGCTAAACACATTACAATTGTCGCCCTTAATTGTAATTCCATAGGTTTTTAGTTTTCTTGATAAATATTACAAATCTGGAGAGACATACGTGTACAACCATAAGGCAATACTTCTACTGGCTTTAGTGTAATTGTAGAACATTTCTAAATGTGTCCACAACTCATTTCTCTGCAACGTGTGTCATTCATTTGTTCTGTTTAATGTGTCTTGATTCTTTTTTTAGATTTATAAAAATCAAGGTGTGGTGACCTCCAATGACCAAAGCACCAGCAACGTCTATGAAGAAGTAGATGTAGAAGTACACTACGAAAACTTGACCACAAGTGAATAAATCTACTGCAATGAAAATTTCCGTAAACCCAACAGAAGCTACAGTTCAGTCCATAAATATTTGGACAGAGACAACTATTTTCTAATTTTGGTTCTTCAAATGAAACAACTCAGATGCAGCTGAAGGGACTCAAAAGTAATTGGACAAATTAAATAGGTGAAAATAAAATGTTAATTTCTAATACATGATTGAAACCCTTTGCTGGCAATTACACCCCCAAGTCTTGAACTCATGGATATCACCAGTTACTATGCTTCCTTCTTTTAAATCTTCAACAAATGAAATGCACGCCCACTTGGGTTAACATCAGGTCACCCACTTGGCCATTCAAAAATATTCCACATCTTTGGTTTAATAAATTCCTGGGTTGCTTTGTCTGCATGTTTTGGGTCATTGTCCATCTGTACAAGTCTATCTGCCCAATTAATTTGACTGCATTTGGCTTGATTTGAGCAGACAGTATGTCTGAACACCTCATAATTCAATTGGCTGCTTCTGTCCTGTGTCACATCATTAATAAACACTAGTGTCCCAGTGCCACTGGCAGTCATGCACGCCCAAGCACACTGCCTCTGCCGTGTTTTACAGAAGATGTGGAATGCTTCGGATCATAAGCCATTCCACGCCAGCGTAGACTTGGATATCGATACATCTACGTCCTGGAGAGTGTTGTCACTTGGTTGGCTGTTTTGAAGGGGTTTTTCTTCACCATGAAATGATTCTGCGATCATCTACCAAAGTTGTCTTCCATGGACATCCAAGTCTTCTTGCGTTGCTGAGTTTACCAGTGCTTTCTTTCTTTCTTTCTCAGGATGTACCAAACTGTAGATATTATCATTTCAAACATTGAAGTAATTTCTCAGATGGGTTTTTCTGTTTTCTCAGCTTAAGGATGGCTTTTTTCACCTGCATGGAGAGCTCCTTTGGCCATATGTTGTCTGTTCACTGCAAAATATTCCAAATGCAAGCATGACACATCAAATCAACTCCAGGCCCTTTATCTGCTTAATTAATAATGACATAATACAGGAAGTGCCCACACCTGCCCATGAAACAGCCTTTTTGTTGTCCAGTTACTTCTGGTCCCTTTATAAAGCGGTTGGCACATGTTAAGAAGCTGAAACTCCAAAACTATTCATTCAATTTGACTGTGGATACCCTCAAATGAAAGAGAGTCTACGCATTATGTCCATGTCCACTGTATAACTATAATTAGAATATGTTCTGGCAAAGAGGTATAAAAACAATTATAAATGGACCTAACTGGAAGTAGCACTTGCATCTGTAGTTACTAGCTTTGATTTTAATTGCTTAGTGTTCATAAAAATATCTGCTGTTTTTTTTAATGTGAAAACCCAATAATGCAAAATTTCCCATGATTTTTAAGTAAACAAATACAAAAGTGGAACACAATCAAATTTGTTTACATACAGTAATAAAACAGTACATTTATTCAATTTTATATATTAGTTTTTTGTTTGGTTTATTGTTTTGAACTATTTAAAGAAGTCCCCACTTTGCTGAAAATGTCAGTTTTAGACATTTGGAGTCAAAAATACAGCAGTGAAAAGTAAAATGGTCATGATACACAGAAACATCCAAAAACTTTCAACTTGAACATTTGACAAAACTTTCATATTGTATAAATTATCTTCCTTCACGTGCAATATTACTGGTTAGTGTGTCACAGTGAGCCCCCTGCTGGTGATGTATTAGTTTAACACTGATTATTAGAGTAGGAATAGAAGATTACCTACGGTATGCATATATCCTAATGACCTGTTAGTCACACGTTGTTAACAAATGAGTGCTTGTTTGCATAATTAGTCCCTTTGTCTATCTGCTTTCTAAACACCAAGATGGCAAAAACCCCGTGTTATTGGACTGTTTACTAATTTGTACCACTGTGTCTTTTTCATGTTAACATCAGTCCTACATAAGAAAATCATGGTAATGACACAATGCGCCTGTTCTGTTTGAGCAATGATGCTGAACTGTTTATTAATTAATACAAAGCTCTCCAGGCTTTTGACTGTCTTATTTTGTTGTTCTGTAAAATAAGCTTCTCTGTGTAAGCTTATTGGCTCAATTAGCTCTTTCAAAACTTTTTGATATACAACATTTTTCAAATCTACTAAATGCATTTTATTTGCAAGCAGCTTAGTATATGTTTAATAAAAATTGCAGTATATTATATAAAATTGCCTCATGATTTCTCAGGATAACAATCTGAGAAAATGTATTATCTGTGTTTGTTATTAATTAAAAATGTACAAAATATACACATACATAAAAATAAAAAAGCAGCAGGTTCCTGCTTCCTTCCTTGTCATCATCAAGGGAACAGATTTTGAGGTGGATGAGTACTACAGACACCCAAAATAATAACGATGAATGTGTTTTTAAAAAGGGCCAGAGCGGCCTTTGCCTATATCTAATGAGAATTATCATTGTTACGGCCTTTGCAGGTTATCCTGTGAAACTGACCTCATGTGGGTGTGTCCTGCCATCTTCCTGCCTTAGTTGCCACCCTTTTGTACAACTGACTCTAATCAGCAATTAGGAGTACTTAAGGCCAGGGAAAGGTGTGCTCTAATGCCAGAGAGCCTTGTTGGTTTTGTAGCTAGTGAGCTGTGAATGCATGTGTGGTGAAGGTGACAGCTGATGGTAACAGCTGACAGTAAATATGGCCAAAAGCACAGCACCCAACCGAGTAAGGCGAGGAAACAACTTACCTGGCAGAAAATATAGGTTCTGGGAATAACACAAACCTGTGTAACTATACTAAGCAATAAGTATCGAAAGAGAGCAGTGGCAGCAAAAACACGCCAGCGTTCAGTCCCTCAAGAGACCTGCTCCCTCAACTATGATCTCCAATCTATGGATGTTGGGAAATACTGGTGTCCAGTGACCAGAACATTTGATGATATGTAGACTGAAGTCGAGCTGAAAGTAGTACAAAGTAAATGTTTTTAAGGTTTCATGAAATCTGAGCTGACAGCAATCGCTTCAATGTGTCAGGTCAGAACACTTATAAAGGTTCAGATGAGAGTGGCAGACTCCAAGAATTAGGTTGTCATACGTGTGTGTGTGTGTTTTCTGTAGACAATGCAGAGCAAACAAATATCAGAAACCGAATTACATTACATTACCTTAATTACATAGTTAAAGGCAAGGACTTCAGTTTGCATGTCTATAAACAGTGGTACAAGATTATCTGCTTTTTCTGCTGCAGATTCAAGTAACTGTTTAACTCTAATTCTGAGCTAATTAATAATGGAATAACTGGTCCGTTAGTCTTTATTAGAAGTATCTGTGCAAGCCCCAAAATGAAGATGATATTTTTTAATTTGTCATCATAAGACTATAAATTCTCCCCATTTTGAATTAGGTTCAAACTTTGGGACTGGAACAAAATCAGGGGATTAATGATTCTTTTATATTAATGCATGCTTAATGTCAACAGGATGAAAGACAAAACCTCCGAGTTGGTTTTCTGCAATGCAAGCTTTTTTTTTAAATTTCCTAAATCTCTTAACTCTTGTATTGGCAGTGTTGTTCTTAACACTTCTAACTTCTGAATACTTCTTTCACCACTAGATGGCCTATGTCAGCAATTTTACAAATTACTAAAATACATTTAGAGGAAGAGACATCGAAGAAAGCGCCATCCCCTCTGTACTTATAGTTCAGCTCTGCACGTCCCTTCTCATTGCTGTAAAAGACCACAGTGTCAGCTTAACATTTTCAGATCTTAAATTTCAGTCAGCCAAAGCAAAGATGTGGAGCCTCCAAAACCTGCTTTTCATCCTCAGCAGTAAGTATTTTAAATGAATAAATAATTAAACATATAAAGGTCAAAGGCAGATGTAGATTAAACAGTATTTTATATGTTTTAGTATTAAGGAGCAGTATGCAGGACCAGTTATGAAAACTACCCCGGTCATCTGATTTCTTTTTACAGCTCTAACGTTCCTTCAAATAAAACATAGAATTTTCAAATTGTCTTTACAGTTGCTCTGAGATGTGTGACCAGTGCAGTAGGGGTGATCCATGTGACTGGATATGTGGGGAGAGAGGTTAACGTTTCCTGCTCCTATGATGAGGGTTATGAATCATATGAAAAGTATCTGTGTAAGAACGACTGTGGTGACAGTGATGTTCTTATTGCAACATCAAACTCCGTGAAAAACAAATACACAATCCATGATGACAAAACATCACGAATCTTCACAGCGACCATCTCTGATCTTCATTCTGTGGATGCTGGTAAATACTGGTGTGGAGTGACCAGAACTGTAGCAGACATCTACACTGAAGTCGAGCTGAAATTAGTACCAGGTAAATAAAGACATGGACAGGATGAATTGTACATTTAAAGTGATTAAAAATTATATAAAGAAAGTTAAACGTACTGCCATTACCAGCTAATTCTGCTGTAGCATCAACATACTGTTTAACTGTAGTTTAACTCAACAGTCATTTGTTGGGTTTAGTTGAATCAATCTTAAGATCCTATGCTGACATCTCAGTGCTTAAGCCTGATGGATAAACATGTACAGACCAGTAACAAAAAGACATAAAACACTCAAGAGTAGATAAAACAATAAATGCAAACAGAAAAGATGAAATAAGCACTGCATGGTGGAAAAAAGTCACAACTTTATAAATGTATGTGAAACAAGCAAAGGACATTAAATCAGTGACTAATGAGGAGATAAAATAATAAATGCAAACAGTAAATATATTTAAACCCTCATATAAGCATGTATGTGAAGCAAGTGAAAGACTTTAAAACAATGAGTTGAATATGAAACTCTTGTTCTTCATATATAACCATTTTTTGGCTGTAATACTTCTGGTGTTGTTTACCTTCTTGACAGACAGATGCTGTGACACTGTGACCAAAGTTCAAAGTTATGAGGGATTCTCTGAGTCCTTCAGTTGTTCGTATGAGTCTCAGTACCAGAACAGCCTGAAGTACATCTGCAGAGGAAACCGGCCCTCCACATGTCTGCAGCAGGCACTGATCACCTCTGACACCAAACAAAATGGACGATTCAGACTTGATGATGACAAAGTGTCAGGAACATTCACAGTGAACATTAGCAGTTTGACTCAAAATGATTCAGGGTCATACCTCTGTGGTGTCCAAAGAAACTCTGACGTGGATGTTTTCTCTGCTGTTGAGCTGGAAGTTGAAGGTGAGAGATCATAGTTATACTTAATTACATCAGCCTGAATATATCAATGATTTCTCCTCAATAAGCTCCAACAAGCTGAATATCTGGTGATTCTAAACTACCTTTTCTCTTTCAATCTGACAGAGTGGTGCTGTGTCAAATCAACTACAATAAATGGTATTGCAGGATATCCACTAACTTTGCAGTGTCCTTATCCTCCACAATATCGGCATAACAGCAAGTTCCTCTGTAAGGGAGACCACCGCAACAATTGCACAAAGATGGCGGTGAGTCAAAGGAGGTTCACACTGCAAGATAATGCTACTTCCAGTTCTTTCATGATGAAGATCACAGAACTGGAAGCAGATGATGCTGGGACATACTGGTGTGGGACAGACTCACAGTGGAGAGTTGGAAACTACACCAAGATTGAGCTGTCAGGTAGGCTGTGAACACTTTTGTATATATAATGCATCTAAG